TCTACCCAGTCCTCCACACTACCTCACCATCACCCATCACCATCACTACTGTCATCCCTACCACACCACCACCACCACTGCTGCAACACCACTACCACACCACCACCACCACCACAACCACCACAGGTAGAGCAGCAGATATTGAATTATTGTGAGGCTGATCTGTTGGGTGAGGTGAGATGAGGTTCTCAATATAGTGTTATGTGTCGGGAGAGTAGTGTTATGTGTCACCGGGAGAATGTGTCACCTGGAGGTAGTGTTATGTGTCACCTAGAGTAGTGTTATGTGTCACTGGAGAGTAGTGTTATGTACTGGGAGAGTAGTGTTATGTGTCAGGAGAGTAGTGTTATGTCACTGGGAGAGTAGTGTTATGTGTCACCAGGAGAGTAGTGTTATGTGTCACCGGGGAGAGTAGTGTTATGTCTGGGAGAGTAGTGTTATGTGTCACCGGAAGTGTTTATGTGTCTGGGGAGAGTAGTGTTATGTGTCACCAGGAGAGTAGTGTTATGTCACCGGGAGAGTAGTGTTATGTGTCACCGGAGAGTAGTGTTGTGTCACCAGGAGTAGTGTTATGTGTCACCAGTAGTGTTATGTGTCACCGGGAGAGTAGTGTTATGTGTCACCGGGAGGTAGTGTTATGTCACTGGGAGAGTAGTGTTATGTCACCGGGAGAGTAGTTTATGTCACTGGGAGGTAGTGTTATGTGTCACTGGGAGAGTAGTGTTATGTGTCACTGGGAGGTAGTGTTATGTGTCACAGAGTAGTGTTATGTGTCACTGGGAGAGTAGTGTTATGTGTCACTGGGAGAGTAGTGTTATGTGTCACTAGAGTAGTGTTATGTGTCACTGGGAGAGTAGTGTTATGTGTCACCGGAGAGTAGTGTTATGTGTCCCAGGAGAGTAGTGTTATGTGTCTCGGGAGAGTAGTGTTATGTGTCACCGGGAGAGTAGTGTTATGTGTCACGGGAAGTAGTGTTATGTGTCACCGGGAGAGTAGTGTTATGTGTCACCAGGAGAGTAGTGTTATGTGTCACCGGGAGAGTAGTGTTATGTGTCACCAGGAGTAGTGTTATGTCACTGGGAGAGTAGTGTGTGGGTGTTATGTGTCTGGGAGTAGTGTTATGTGGCACCGGGGAGAGTAGTGTTATGTGTCACCGGGAGAGTAGTGTTATGTGGCACCGGGAGTAGTGTTATGTACCAGGTAGTGTTATGTGTCACCGGGAAGTAGTGTTATGTGGCACTGGGAGAGTAGTGTTATGTGTCACCAGGAGAGTAGTGTTATGTGTCAGGGAGTAGTGTTATGTGTCACCGGGAGTAGTGTTATGTGTCACCGGGAGAGTAGTGTTATGTGTCACCGGGAGTAGTGTTATGTGTGTCACCGGGAGAGTAGTGTTATGGCACTGGGAGTAGTGTTATGTGTCACTAAGAGTAGTGTTATGTGTCACCGGGAGAGTGTGTTATGTGTCACCGGGAAGTAGTGTTATGTGTCATCAGAGTGTAGTGTTATGTGTCACTGGGTGAGTAGTGTTATGTGTCACCGGGAGTAGTGTTATGTGTCACCGGAGGTAGTGTTATGTGTCACAGAGTAGTGTTATGTGTCACTGGAGAGTAGTGTTATGTGGCTGGGAGAGTAGTGTTATGTGTCACTGGGAGAGTAGTGTTATGTGGCACCGGGAGAGTAGTGTTATGTATCACCGGGAGAGTAGTGTTATGTGTACTGGGAGAGTAGTGTTATGTGTCACCGGGAGAGTAGTGTTATGTGTCACAGAGTAGTGTTATGTGTCACCGGGAAGTAGTGTTATGTGTCACTGGGAAGTAGTGTTATGTGTCACCAGAGTTGTGTTATGTGTCACTGGGAGAGTAGTGTTATGTGTCACCGGGAGGTGTTGTGTCACGGAAGTAGGTGTGTCACGGGAGGTAGTGTTGTGTCACTGGGACAGTAGTGTTATGTGGCACTGGGAGAGTAGTGTTATGTGTCACTGGGAAGTAGTGTTATGTGGCACCGGGAGGTAGTGTTATGTGTCTGGGAGAGTAGTGTTATGTGTCACTGGGAGAGTAGTGTTATGTGTCACCGGGAGATGGTATGTGTCACCAGGAAGTAGTGTTATGTGTCACTGGAGGAAGTAGTGTTATGTGTCACCGGGAGAGTAGTGTTATGTGTCACCAGGAGTAGTGTTATGTCACTGGGAAGTAATTTTATGTGTCACCGGGAGTAGTGTTATGTGTCACCGGGAGTAGTGTTATGGCACTGGGAGTTATGTGGGAGTGTTTATGTCACCGGGAGAGTAGTGTATGTGTCACCGGGAGAGTAGTGTTATGTGTCACCGGGAGAGTAGTGTTATGTGTCACTGGGAGAGTAGTGTTATGTGTCACTGGGAGAGTAGTGTTATGTGTCACGGGAGAGTAGTGTTATGTGTCACCGGGAGAGTAGTGTTATGTGTCACCGGGAGAGTAGTGTTATGTGTCACTGGGAGAGTAGTGTTGTGTGTCACCGGGAGAGTAGTGTTATGTGTCACCGGGAGAGTAGTGTTGTGTCACCGGGAGAGTAGTGTTATGTGTCGGGAGTAGTGTATGTCACTGGGAGTAGTGTTATGTGTCACCGGAGAGGAGTGTAATGTGTCACCGGGAGAGTAGTGTTATGTGTCACTGGGAGAGTAGTGTTATGTGTCACTGGGAGAGTGTGTTATGTCTGGGAGGTAGAGTTGTGTCTCCAGGAGAGTAGTGTTGTCACCGGGAGGTGTTATGTGTCACCGGGAGAGTAGTGTTATGTGTCACCGGGAGAGTAGTGTTATGTGTCACTGGGGGTAGTGTTGTGTCACCAGGTAGTGTTATGTGTCACCGGGGAGTAGTGTTATGTGTCACTGGGAAGTAGTGTTATGTCGCCGGGAGAGTAGTGTTATTGTGTCACTGGGAGAAGATGTTGTGTGTCACCGGGAGTAGTGTTATGTGTCACCGGGAGAGTAGTGTTATGTGTCACTGGGAGAGTAGTGTTATGTGTCAGGGAGGTTGTGTTATGTGTCACTGGGAGAGTAGTGTTATGTGTCACCGGGAGTAGTGTTATGTCACCAGAGTAGTGTTATGTGTCACTGGAGAGTAGTGTTATGTGTCACTGGGAGAGTAGTGTTATGTGTCACCGGGAGAGTAGTGTTATGTGACTGGGAGTAGTGTTATGTCACCGGGAAGTAGTGTTATGTGTCACCGGGAGAGTAATGTTATGTGTCACCGGGAGTAGTGTTATGTGTCACTGGGAGTAGTGTTTGTGTCACCAGGAAATGTTATGTGTCACCGGGGGGTAGTGTTATGTGTCACGGGAGAGTTGTGTTTTGTGTCACTGGGAGAGTAGTGTATGTCACCGGGAGTAGTGTTATGTGTCACTGGGAGAGTAGTGTTATGTGTCACCGGGAGTGGTGTTATGTGTCACTGGGAGAGTAGTGTTATGTGTCACCGGAGTGTAGTGTTATGTGTCACCGGGAAAAGTGTTATGTGTCACTGGGAGAGTAGTGTTATGTGTCACTGGGAGAGTAGTGTTATATGTCACTGGGAGGTAGTGTTATGTGTCACCGGGAGAGTAGTGTTATGTGTCACTGGGAGAGTAGTGTTGCTGGGAGTAGTGTTATGTGTCACCGGGAAGTAGTGTTATGTCACTGGGAGAGAGGTGTGTAATCTGGGGAGTAGTGTTATGTGTCACTGGGAAGTGGTGTTATGTGTCACCGGGAAGTAGTGTTATGTGTCACCGGTAGTGTTATGTGTCACAGCCACAGGGGGGGACCTTAGGGTGTGGACAAGTCATAAAAAGTATTCACTGATGCAGTCTCCTGCCCTACTCACCCCCGGGGACCTAGTGGTGCTGGTGGACCTGGTGGTGCTAATGCTCTTAGTGGTGCTGCCTCACCCATGGGATCACTGACCCACCCCAGGATCACTGCCCCAGGGGATCACTGCCCCAGGGATCACTGCCTCACCCCAGGATCACTGCCTCCTCCATGGGATCTGACCACCCCAGGGATCACTGACCCCAGGGGATCACTGCCTCACCCCAGGGGATCACTGCCTCACCCCGGGATCACTGCCTCACTCCATGGGATCACTGACCCACCCAGGGATCACTGCCCCACCCAGGGATCACTGCCTCACCCCAGGGATCACTGCCTCCTCCCATGGGATCACTGACCACCCCAGGGATCACTGACCCACCCCAGGGATCTGCCTCCCCAGGATCACTGAGCCCACCCAGGGATCACTGCCCCACCCCAGGATCACTGCCTCACCCCAGGGATCACTGCCTCCTCCATGGGATCACTGACCCACCCAGGGATCACTGCCCCACCCAGGGATCCTGCCTCACCCAGGGATCACTGCCTCCTCCATGGGATCACTGACCCACCCAGGGGATCACTGCCTCACCCCAGGGATCACTGCCTCACCCAGGGATCACTGCCTCCTCCATGGGATCACTGACCCACCCCAGGGATCACTGCCCCACCCCAGGGATCACTGCCTCACCCAGGGATCACTGCCTCACCCATGGGATCACTGACCCACAGGATCACTGACCCCCCAGGGGATCACTGCCTCACCCCAGGGATCACTGACCCACCCCAGGATCACTGCACCCCAGGGATCACTGCCTCACCCCAGGATCACTGCCTCTCCATGGGATCACTGACCACAGGAGTCCTGCACCCAGGGGATCACTGCCTCACCCCAGGGATCACTGCCTCACCCCATGGGATCACTGACCCAGGGGTCACTGACCCCAGGGATCACTGCTTCACCCCAGGGATCACTGCCCCATCCCAGGGATCACTGCCTCCTCCATGGGATCACTGACCCACCCCAGGGATCACTGCCCCACCCCAGGATCACTGCCTCACCCCAGGATCACTGCCTCACCCCTGGGATCACTGCCCCAGGATCACTGCCTCACCCCAGGATCTGCCTCACCCCAGGATCACTGCCCCACCCCAGGATCACTGCCTCACCCCAGGGGATCACTCACCCATGGGATCACCCACCCCAGGGATCACTGCCCCACCCCAGGATGCCTTCACCCCAGGATCACTGCCCCATCCAGGGATCACTGCTTCACCCCAGGATCACTGCCTCCTCCATGGGATCTGCCCCACCCCAGGGATCACTGCCCACCCCAGGATCACTGCCTCAGCCCAGGGATCACTGCCTCACCCCATGGGATCTGCCCCACCCCAGGGATCACTGCCTCACCCCAGGGATCACTGCTTCACCCCAGGATCACTGCACCCCAGAGGATCACTGCCCCACCCCAGGGATCACTGCTTCACCCCAGGGATCACTGCCTCCTCAGTCGGTCTCCACACTCCAGGGATCACTGCCTCACCCCAGGGATCACCGCCTCACCCAGGGATCCACCTCACCCAGGATCACTACCTCACCCAAGAATCACTGCCTCACCCCAGGGATCACTGCCTCACCCCAGATCATGCCTCACCCCAGGATCACCGCCTCATCCCAGGATCAGCCTCACCCAGGGAATCACTGCCCGAGGATCACTGCTTCACCCCAGGATCACTACTCCACCCCAGGATCCTGCCCATCAGGATCCTGCTTCACCCCAGGATCACTGCCTCACCCCAGGGATCACTGCTTCACCCCAGGGATCCTGCCTCACCCCAGGGATCACTGCTTCACCCTGGGGATCACTGCCTCACCCCAGGGATCACTGCCTCACCCCAGGAATCTGCCTCACCCCAAGGGATCACTGCCTCACCCCAGGATCACTGCCTCGCCCCAGGGATCACTGCCTGCCCCGGGATCACTGCCTACCCCGAGGATTTCTGCCTCCACCCCAAGGATCACTGCCTCACCCAGGATCACTGCTTCACCCCAGGAATCACTGCCTCACCCCAGGATCACTGCCTCACCCCAGGATCACTGCCTCACTCCAGAATCACTGCCTCCCCAGAATTACTGCCTCACCCAAGGGATCACTGCCTCCACCCAGGGATCACTGCTTCACCCAGGGGATCATTGCCCACCCCAGGTCCTGCTTCACCCAGGGATCATTGCCTCACCCCAGGAATCACTGCCTCACCCCAGGGAATTACTGCCTCACCAGGGATCACTGCCTCACCCCAAGGGATCACTGCTTACCCCAGGGGATCATTGCCTCCCCAGGGAATCCTGCTTCACCCAGGGGATGTGCCCCACCCCAGGAATCACTGCCTCACCCGGGAATTACTGCCTCACCCCAAGGGATCACTGCCTCACCCCAAGGGATCACTGCTTCACCCAGGGGATCATTGCCTCACCCCAGGAATCACTGCCTCACCCAGGGATCACTGCCTCACCCCGGGAATCACTGCCTCACCTGAGGGAATCACTGCCTCACCCCAGGGATCACCGCCTCACCCCAGGGATCACCGCCTCACCCCAGGATCACTGCCTCACCCGAGGGAATCACTGCCTCACCCCAGGGATCACTGCCTCACCCCAGGGATTGCCTCACCCCAGGATCACCGCCTCACCCCAGGGATCACTGCCTCACCCCAGGATCACCGCCTCACCCCAGGATCACTGCACCCCAGGGATCACCGCTCACCCCAGGAATCACTGCTCACCCCAGGATCACTGCCCCACCCAGGGATCACTGCCTCACCCGAGGGAATCACTGCCTCACCCCAGGGATCACCGCCTACCCCAGGGATCGCCTCACCCCAGGGATCACCGCCTCACCCTAGGAATCACTGCCTCACCCAGGGATCACTGCCTCACCCCAGGGATCACTGCCTCACCCGAGGAATCACTGCCCACCCCAGGATCACCGCCTCACCCCAGGGATTACCACCACCCCAGGAATCACTGGCTCACCCCAGGATCACTGCCTCACCCCAGGGACTGCCCCACCCCAGGGATCACTGCCTCACCCCAGGGATCACTGCCTCACCTGAGGAATCACTGCCTCACCCAGGATCACTCGGCTCACCCCAGGAGATCACTGCCTCACCCCAGGAATCACTGCCTCACCCCGGGATCACTGCCTCACCCCAGGATCACCGCCTCACCCAGGATCACTGCCTCACCTCAGGGAATCACTGCCTCACCCCAGGGATCACTGCCTCACCCCAGGATCACCGCCTCACCCCAGGAATCACTGCCTCACCCCAGGGATCACTGCCTCACCCCAGGGATCACTGCCTCACCCGAGGGAATCACTGCTCACCCCAGGATCACTGCCTCACCCCAGGGATCACTGCCTCACCCCACCGCCTCACCCTAGGAATCACTGCCTCACCCCAGGATCACTGCCTCACCCCAGGGATCACTGCCTCACCTGAGGGAATCACTGCCTCACCCCAGGATCACTCGCTCACCCCAGGATTACTGCCTCACCCCAGGAATCACTGCCTCACCCCAGGATCACTGCCTCACCCCAGGATCACTCGCCTCACCCCAGGATCACTGCCCACCCCAGGATCACTGCCTCACCCGGGGAATCACTGCTCACCCCAGGGATCACCGCCTCACCCCAAGGATCACTGCCTCACCCCAGGGAATCACTGCCTCACCCCAGGGATCACTGCCTCACCCCGGGATCACTGCCTCACCCCAGGATCACTGCCTCACCTCAGGGAATCACTGCCTCACCCCAGGATCACTGCCCACCCCAGGATCACTGCCTCGCCCCAGGATCACTGCCTCACCCCAGGAATTACCGCCACCCCAAGGGATCACTGCCTCACCCCAGGATCACTGCCTGGCCCCAGGATCACTGCCTCACCCCAGGAATTCACTGCCTCACCCCAAGGATCACTGCCTCACCCCAGGAATCACTGCCTCACCCCAGGATCACTGCTCACCCAGGACCACTGACACACTCCAGGATCATTGCCTCACCCCAGATCACTGCCTCACCCCAGGATCACCGCCCACCCCAGGATCACTGCCTCACCCCAGGGAATCACTGCCTCACCCAGGATCACTGCCTCACCCTAGGATCACTGCTCACCCCAGGGATCACTGCTCACCCCAGGGAATCACTGCCTCATCCCTAAGGGATCACTGCCTCACCCCAAGGATCACTCCAAACGTTGTCATCAGACCCAAAGGTTGTCATCGAACCCAAATGCTGTCATGCACCAAAGTGTTGTCATCGTACCCAAAGGTCATCACTCCAAATGTTAAGTCATCGTACTCCAAATGTTGTCATCGTACCCAAAGGTTGTCATCGCACCCCAGGTGTGTCATCGTACTCCAGGTTGTCATCGTACTCCAAAGTTTGTCATCGTATCAAACGTTGTCATCGTACTCCAAACGTTGTCATCGTACTCCAAAGGTTGTCATCGTACTCCAAAGGCTGTTTCATCGAACCCAAATGTTGTCATCGTACTCCAAATCGTTAAGGTGTCATCGTACCCAAAGGTTAAGTCATCGTACCCAAAATGTTGTCATCGTACTCCAAAGGTTGTCATCGTACCCAAAGGTTGTCATCGTACTCCAAAGGTTGCTTCATCGTACCCAGGTTGTCATCGTACTCCAAAGGTTGTCATCGTACTCAAACGTTGTCATCGACTCCAAATGTTAAGGATCGTATCCAAATGTTTAGTGATCGTAATCTAAATGTTGTCATCGTACCAAACGTTGTCATCGTACTCCAAATGTTGTCATCGTACTCCAATGTTGTCATCGTACTCCAAATGTTGTCATCGTACCAAACCTGTCTCGTACCAAATGTTGTCATCGTACCCAAAGTTGTCATCGTAATCCAAAGGTTGTCATCGTATCTAAAACGTAGTCATCGTACTCCAAATGTGTCATCGCACCTCAAAGGTTGTCATCGTACCCAAAGGTTAAGTCATCGTATCTAAATGTTGTCATCATAACCAAATGTTGTCATCGTACCAAAGGTTAGTCATCGTACTCCAAAGGATAAGTCATCGTATCCAAAGGTAAAGTCATCGTACTCCAAAGGTTGTCATCGTACTCCAAAGGTTGTCATCGTACTCCAAAGGTTGTCATCGTACTCCAAAGGTTGTCATCGTACCCAGGTTGTCATCGAACCCAAAGGTTGTCATCGAACTCCAACGTTGTCATCGTACCCAGGTTGTCATTGTACTAATCGTTAAAAGTTAAGACTAGTTGACAAAATACAGTTAAAGAACAAGCAGCAACACTTCATTAACACCCAAGAACAATAAAGAGAGGAGAGAGGAATCTTGCATCCGTTGTCCTAAATCTTTTCCTTGTTGCGAGTTTTCCTGCATAATTTCGCCATAATATTTCTCAAGTCGCCCACATTTACTAAAAGATTTTCGGGAATGAAGGACCCCTGAACTTCGGGGCGTCGAGGCGAGAATTTCATTATTTTGGGGCTATTTTGCGGCTATTTTTATTGTTTTCCCTTAGTGGTTCTTGATACTGTGGCGGTGAGGAGTCGACCTTAGCAAATGGGGAGATTCTGGCCTGCCCATTTGGAAGGTGGAGGTCATGGTGAGTTAAGAGGTGTGGGGATGATGGGGAGGAGGAAGAGGCCATAGCTGAGAGGTTAAGAGTCTGTTGGAGGTGTGAGGCCATGAGGTAATGATACAGAGGTTAAGCCGAGGAAGAGGTGTGGTGGGGGATGTTGGCTTGAAAAATTCCATAAGAAAAAAAAAGGATAATATGGAGAAAAAATATATATTATTAATTTCAAACCTTTTAGACTAATACAGAGGAATGAGGTAAAGAAAACGAACTCAGATAAAGGAAACTGCTTATTTATATTATAGTTCTTTGAGGAGAAAGTCATTTGTCTAGGTGATGTTGCCGCGGGATGAGGCCAGATAAACTCTTTCTACTTATGGTTGTTAAGTAAGTTAAAGGGAAACATTGTACTGTATGTGTAGGGAGAATACACACACACAACACACACACACACACACACACACACACACACACACACACACCTCATAATAAAACCACCAATGATATTCATTATTATGTCCAACTGTTTAAATTAATAAAAATAATAAGTAATGTTAATGACTGTGTTTCTGTGTGTAAGATTATGTTAATGTATAGTGTGTATGATTAATGTATGTGTATGATTATGTTAATGTATAGTGTGTGTATGATTATGTTATGTATAGTGATGTATGATTGTGTTAAGGTATAGTGTGTATGATTATTGAGTATAGTGTGTATGATTATGTTAAGGTATAGTGTGTGTATGGATTATGTTATGATAGTGTGTGTATGATTTAGTAGGTGTGTATGATTATGTTAATGTATAGTGTATGTATGATTGTTTTAATGTATAGTGTGTGTATGATTATAGTATAGTGTGTGTATGATTATGTTAAGGTATAGTGTGTATATTATGTTAATGTATAGTGTGTATGATTATAGTATAGTGTGTGTATGATTATGTTAAGGTATAGTGCATGTATGATTGTTGTAAGGTATAGTGTGTGATGATTATGTTATGGTATAGTGTGTGTATGATTATGTTATAGCTGTGTGTATGATTATGTTGATACATAGTGTATGTATGATTGTGTAAGGTATAGTGTGTGTATGATTGTTAAGGTATAGTGTGTATGATTATGTTAATGTATAGTGTGATTATGTTTATGTATAGTGTGTGTATGATTATGTTAATGCATAGTGTGTGTATGATTATGTTGATGTATAGTGTATGTTTGTTTTAAGGTATATTGTGTGTATGATTATGTTAGTATAGTGTGTGTATGATTATTGTATGTGTATGATTATGTTATGTATAGTGTGTGTATGATTGTTTTAAGGTATATTGTGTGTATGGATTATGTTAAGGTATAGTGTGTGTATGATTATGTTAAGGTATAGTGTGTGTATGATATGTAAGTATTTACAGTTGTATAGTGCATGTATGATTGTTTTAAGGTATATTGTGTATGATTATGTTAAGGTATAGTGTGTATGATTATGTTAAGGTATAGTGTGTGTATATTATGTGGTAGTGTGTATGATTATGTTAGGGTATAGTATGATTATAGGTATAGTGTGTGTATGATTGTTTTAAGGTAAAGTGTGTGTATGATTATAGGATGTATAGTGTGTGTATGATTATGTTATGTATAGTGTGTATGATTATAGTATAGTGTGTGTATGGATTGTGTTAAGGTATAGTGTGTGTATGATTATGTTAAGGTATAGTGTGTGTATGATTATAGTATAGTGTGTATGATTATGTTAAGGTATAGTGCATGTATATTGTGTTAGTATAGTGTGTATGATTATGTTAAGGTATAGTGTGTGTATGATTTATTCATGTATAGGTATGTTATGTATAGTGTATGATTATGTGAAGGTATAGTGTGTAAAGGATTACAGTATAGTGTGTATGATTATGTTAAGGTATAGTGTGTATGATTTATGTTAATGTATAGTGTGTGTATGATTATGTTAAGGTATAGTGTGTATGATTATGTTAAGGTATAGTGTGTATGATTATGTTAAGGTATAGTGTATGATTATGTTAAGGTATAGTGTGTGTATGATTATGCTGTGTATAGTGTGTGTATGATTATGTGGTATAGTGTGTGTGTATGATTATGTTAATGTATAGTGTGTGTATGATTATGCTAAGGTATAGTGTGTGTATGGTTGTGTTTATGTATGTGTGTGTATGATTATGCTAAGGTATAGTGTGTGATGATTATGCTAGGTATAGTGTGTGTGATTATATTTACTTATGGTGTGTGGATTATGCTAAGGTATAGTGTGTGTATGATTATGTTAATGTATAGTGTGTGTATGATTATGCTAAGGTATAGTGTGTGTGATTATGCTGGGGTATAGTGTGTTTAATTTTGTGTTAATGTATAGTGTGTGTATGTTATGCTGGGTATGTGTGTGATTATGTTTATGTGTGGTGTGTATGATTATGCTAAGGTATAGTGTGTGTATGTTTATTATAATGTATAGTGTGTTTATGATTATGTTATAGTGTGTGTAGGTTTGCTTTGTGTGTTATGTGTGTATGGATTATGTTAATGTATGTGTGTATGATTATGTTAAGGTATAGTGTGTAAAATTTGTTAAGGTATTACTATGGGACTTGTATGAATGGTTATAGTTCATACATCAATCATCCTCGTATTTATATAGTGGAATACAGACTGTAGTGTATGTTTGTATATTTTGTATCCCTCACCAGCTCATATTTCAGAAGTTCATAAATGAGTTTGCTCTACGTTACAGTATAGGAGTCTGTAATACTGAAACTGTGATATTTTATTCAGGGAGCAGCAGAACATTGTTAAATCTGTATTATGTGTATAATGCGAACCCACGTACTACAATATGTATCATGTCTTTGGTATTTTACATTATCTATTTGTTTCTCATGTATCAAGTGTTTGTATTATGTGCTGTATTATGTATTAGAAGTAATATAGTCAACTTATATTAAATGGAAGTATAAATACAAATAAACCAATTAAAATTATGCTAATTATGTTATGTTAATTAATGAGGAAAGTTATCTGCGGAATAATGTACATAAAAGCCAATCTCTAACATCCACCAGCCAACTCAACATCCACCAGCGAACTCAACATCCACCAGCTAATCTCTAACATCCACCAGCCAATTAACATCCACCAGCTAACTCAACATCCACCAGCTAACTCAACCACCAGCGCCAACTTAACATCTCACCAGCTAACTTAACAACCACCAGCCAATCTCTAACAACCACCGAAGCCAATCTCTAACATCCACCTGCTATTCAACATCCACCAGCTAATCTAACACCCACCAGCTAATTCTCAATATCTACACCAGCTAACTTAACATCCACCAGCTAACTTAACAACCACCAGCAATACGTAACCGAACGAAGTACAACA